TCCTAGCATCAGCACCAGCCTTCCTGTTTTTCCGGGAAGCGGACGACAGCAACAAGACGGCGTGCGTGCCGCATTATCCCGGCAGCGGCAACGGCTGGAAGATCTTCTCTAATTTTGAAGTGAATGCCGTGGGCTGGCTCATGCCCCTGGCCATCCTCATTTTCTGCTACTACAACATCCTGAAAAACCTGCACAAATGCCACACTCGGAACAAGTACAAAGCAATGAAGCTCGTGTTTACTGTGGTCGCCGTGTTCTTCCTCTTCTGGACGCCCATCAACRTAGTGCTTTTCCTGGACTCTCTGCAGAATATGTATATCCTCGACGACTGTCGCACAAGCAAAAGGCTCGCTCTAGCCAYGGAGCTGGCCGAGGCTTTCTCCTTTGCCCACTGCTGCCTCAACCCAGTCATCTACGCTTTTGTGGGTGAGAAGTTCAAGAAGTATCTCTGCGAGGCTTTGGGGAAATACGCACGGTTCCTCCTGATCTGCAAAGACTACAGGACTTTCAGCGGGCACAGCTCGGACAAACATTCCTCTGTCCTGCCAGTATCCTCACAGTCTTCCTTCATGGATACTATCTTATAGAGCACGATAGCAAAAACTTCCATCTTGCCTGGGTACCCTGAAATTTCTGACATCTATTTAGTCAATAAAGTCTTCATATTGCTTTGGAAGTTTGGTAGTTTCAGTATTGCCCCAGCCAGAATGGGAAATGKTACAATACTGCAGCAGTGGATGTCATTTTTGATGACCTTTGCTRCTCTTTTCACTTTTGCCCGCCATCTGAATAGCTTAACAGTGGAGAGTTTTGTCTCCCTTTCAGCTGAGCACAGGGTGGACAACCTTTGATGCCATGAGCTACGATGAGACAGCTGCTCAAGCCTGYGCTTACCAYGGSAAGAGCTTCTCTTAGCTTCCTCCTGCAGGCTCTATACCCCTTTCCTGTGCCACTTCCTGCCACAACTGCTTAGTGAAGGGGAGGCCAAAATTACCATCAGGGTCCCTCACGGCCTGGGCAACACAGGGACCTCCAGGCAGCCTCTCCAGCTCCGGACCCAGAGGTCTCAGAGATCCCTGTAGAAGYTGGGAYGTAGGATCACAGGAGAGGGAGGAGGCAGCCTCTCTTATTGSCCCTGAGGGGAGGGAGCTCATCAAGGACTTGACACAGAGCTTGTTGTATCTTTGGTCCCAAAGGAAGAGGTCACCTGTGCCTGCTGAAACAATTAACTCTTCCCAAAGGAACTGTCATTAGTTTGCACCATAATAGGGTGAACAGTTGCTGTCACTGGACAGAGACAGGAGGACGTTTCCCTCTGAGGTGCCACAGTAACACTAAGGGTAATAGCTGGGGAGCTTATGGAGCCTGGTGTTTCTGGCAGTTCCCTGTGCTCCTGGCTACCAGGGTTTTGAGGTCATCATCTCAAAATAACTTATTTTAACAGCTGCTGGTAGATTGTGGTCACCATAAGGAAAAGTCTTTCTTCCTAGTACAGAGCAGAACAAAACATAAAATACAGTTTTGTACTCTGTGATGCTGTTCTGCAAAGAGACATTGAGACTGATATTAGCAAAGGTCTGCTGACAGTCCTGTAGCTCAGAGTTGAAAGATGTAGAACAACAATACACTGTATCGTGCTTCACCCTATTTTCTGTGGAATTTATCAAATGTRAGCAAATATGTCTTCATATATCCAACTTTTTGTTGGTGTGTATCCTTAAACATGTACTTTCCATTGCATACCTGCCCACACGAACAACTCTACAGTTTTTCATTAGTTTTGTGGCTCCTCACCTCAGGGCTCTGCCAATGCACAAATGCAGGAGGACGTGTCCTACTCTCCTGTGCTCCCTGTCTCCATACGTACACCACATGCACCCTGCTCCTGGGCTTGACCTGCCTCCTGGACCCTTTCCCCACTGAGGGRAAAGTAGCTCTGAGATCTGCAGGGAGGCTCTTGCCCTCTCTCGGTCAAACCGTGCTGGCAATGCAGGGACCAGATCTGGGTCTCACCTTCACAGGCAGGAAGCTGCAACAGCTGCAGGCAGCTGGGCCTGCAAGGAGGTGCTCAGGTCACCTTCAGCTTTAGAAGTCTGATTACTGCAAGTGGAAGAAACAGGGGCCTCAGGCAAGGAATCCTTTGCGCCACAGAATGCATCTTGGACCCTCCCACTGCAAGGCTTTGTCTGAGGCAGTTATAGGGGAAAGATTCCCTTTGGAGTCTACTAAGAACTAGAGAAATTAAACACTTTATATAGGCAGCTTTTTCTCATGTTTATTTCTAAATGTATAAAATATGATAAAAATGCACTTTCACTTAGTCATTTTCCACTGAAGAACGCAGCTGTTAATACAGMAGAGCTATGAAAACGATTGGAAAAATAGTCATATTTGAAGCACAGCAAACTCAGCACACCTGGTTGCAGGCGGTGAGAGGAGTAGAATATGATAATCTCTTTCCCAAGGGTTTTCTTGCAGTAAGTCTTCCTCCAGAGCTGATAATTGTGTACTCAGCTCCCACTGAGCCAGGGATGGATTTCCCTTTCTGCATAAGTGCCAGGCCACATGGGAAGAATATAGGAACATTGTGATAGAATGGAGGGATGATACAAGGAAGACCAAGGCCCATTTGGAATTAGAGTTAGCGACAGGTATCAGACACAACAGGAAGGGCTTCTATAAATACATCAGCAGCAAGAGGAAGACTAGGGAAAACGTTAGTCTGCTGCTGAATGGGGAGGGGGCCTTGGTGACAGAGCATGTGCCCTCCTGGGCAGATTGTTAGCACAGCTGGGGATAAGGGAGCACCAAGGATGGAGATGAAAAAACATACACCATGTGAAGAGSAGCTATGATGGAGTATTTTAAGGAGACTGCTTGCCCCTCTGAGATGCAGGAAAGACTTGGATTAAGGGCAGTCTTGCATAAGGATTTCAGTCTCAGCACTGGAGCAGCACAGATACAGGTGGACAGCAGTGGGATATCTGAGCTGAAGACACAAATCACCTCTCAAGCCAAGCTCAGGGCTGGGGTGGAGGGGGCTGTCAGGCACATTATTGTTTCACTGCTCTGAATCTGACACCACAGAGAGCAGTGGCTGATGTCCTCAGCTTGCCTTTCAGTCACTTAGACCAAAGTTTGCCCTAGCTCTCCCCCTTGCTGGAAATGCCAAGTGCTTTTGCTTCTTCAGGGCATCTGGCAAGGCTGCCTGCAGAATGACAAACTCAGATGGACTGACCTGCTTAAGGCCCAACAGCCATATCAAGGCAGCCATTCACCAAGCGTCTGTGGGAGTTTTGCTGAGCTGGAAGGGCTGGACTGGGAGCTGGCAGTGTCAAGTGTTTGACAGAGCAAGGGATTTTCCTGGGAAGCCATGGCCAAGGCCTCTCTGGGAAGCTGCAYGGCCGTAGGGAGACAGCCCAGAGACTCCCTGCTCCCATTGCAACAGTGATACTTAGGGAATCTTAAATGTTCCTCTTCCTTTGCAAGGCTATGTCTAGTTAAGGAGAGTATACCTTAATTGTGCTGCACAGGTGCAAAATACAAGGAGCTCTGGGGAGARCTGATTCTGCAATGATCATTACCTTCCAAATCCTCCATGTAATGCAACATCTTCCTAACTAGGGTACTATAATCTAGCAGCATTGAACCCTGATCAGGAGCAGAAATGGAAAATTCAATTGAAGTCAACTGTACCAGTGTATGCCCGATACTGTCACTTGTGGCTGGGGAGGATGCTTTGCAGGAAGAGCAGTGAAGTGAATTTATCATTACTGCAGTAGAACCACAGAGATATTTTCAGTGCTTGAGTGCTTTCAGAGCTCATTTTTCTCACTTGAGATTATTCTAACACCTTTTATCACTAGCACTTATTAGAAACCAGCAGTTTCCTGAGTCCTGTGGTACATTTTGTCACAGGATGAACCAAATGACTATTTGGAAGTCAAATGCATACTACACAGTTCAAAACATTTTAATTCACTGTAGCATCAGAGTATAACTCACAATTACAGTAGACCCCTAAATTAAGAATAATGCACATCTTAGCTTGTTTTCTTCTCCTTTTATATTCCTATTCTGCATCCAATCTTCAGCATAATTAGTGCACATCTTATTTTTGTGACTTTGCCTAAGTTTCACCTCTACACACACTCTTTCTTAACAATATGGAATAAAACAGTTTTTAGATTTATGTTTGTTTATATTACAGAAAGTAACCACTTTCTGGAAGCACAGCCTAAGAGCAGATCATGAGTATTGCTGAGCTTCAAAAGAGCAAGATTATCTCTCCCTCTTAAAAAGACTTCTATTGAATGGAAAACCTCCCTCATACCTGGGCATGAGTAGGGCTCATTACACACTAATGCATGTGCTAGCTGCTTCACATCTGAACACAAATCTTGAAATGTTTGTGCAGACAAGGGACTGAACAAGGGCTGCACTGAACATATTTTCAGGCAAAATGGAAAGAGTTGGCATGGACTGAGTAAAACAAGAACAGTTTTTATTTGTGCACAAATGCAAGAAAGTATGTTAGTCGATCACTTTTGTATCTGTGTCAGTGAACAGCGTGAACGGTGTTAGCGAACAGTGGTGACTTGGGAAAAGTAGAGACTGAGCGTGTCAGCATTTGACAAGTCGGGAGACACCTGATTGATGGGACATTGTTGTCAGCAGCCAACATGCATGGCCAGTCACTCCCAGACCCTACTCACCTGCCAGCATTGGGAAAACTGGCAAGGCTCCTCTGGCTTCAAACATCTCCTTCAAACACCTACCTACCGTTTACTTCTACACATACTGCTGCTAGCCTGTTTCGGTAAAAAACTGTATCCTACCTATTGCAAATACTAGTATTGTTAAAWTGGTAAATACTATCTATCTGAAGAAAATCAGTGTTTTAGCTGATATATTGTTCTTTGTTCTGTTGTGTCCTARGAAATAAACCCAAGGGAACAGAATGGAGCCTGATTTACAATGAGTTCAAGTTTTACTTGTTAGTTTACTCTGAGGTTTATTTGGAAAGGATGAGGGAGAGAAAGGAAAGAGGGAGATGGAGGTGTGAACACTTTTGTARAATTGTCCAGAACAGCTGAAAGAGTTAATGAAATCGTAGTAAAGTTCCTGAAGTKCACGGACTGTGGAAGAAGATGTAGACCAGGACCAAAATTTCAGAAGGACAYAGTATTTGGTTCATCAGTGTTTGYAGATGTAACCATACATMTACACRCAGCTGCTCCCTTGGTGGGTCAGGGCTCTGCTGAAGGGTGAGCACCTCTTTGGCCCACAGCTCATCAGTCAGTCACTCAGTGCTCAAGAAGCTTTTACAGAGAATTTTTACAGGCCTCTGCACAAACCTAGCATTTGTCCATTCCTCAGGCTTTTCCTTCAATAAGAATTTCTCCATTTATACTTAGTCAAATACGTTCAATCTCATAAGAGGTTTTTTTTTTTTAATGATATATACTCTCTAGGAATTCTCTGAAAAAAAAAAAAAAAAAAACCCTTTCTTTCTGCATCAGTCTAACAGCAGCTGTTAAAACCAGTCATTTGTAGACTATGAATTCAAAACCCTGGGAAACCCTGGTAGCCAGAAACATCAGGCTCCATGAGTTCCCCAGCTATTACCCTTTGTCTTACGGTGCCACCTCAGAGGGCAGCGTCTTC